TATGAGGTTCCAGATGCATTATAAGGTTATTATATTAATGCACTCTATTTCAATACAGCAATATTAACATTAAAGAAATTAAAGAAAATTAAATGATAAATCGTAAAATAAAAAAAGCAAGATACTATACTTATTACCAATGAATAGATAGCAAAGCATATGATGCATCAGTGATGTTCTTAATTTAAAATATATTCTGAGATGTTTTGTGATTACAATGTATGTATGAACTTTATGATGCCACTAATTAAAGCGAACCAATTTTTCTTGCAAATTTTTTTTGAAACAATTCTAACTACTTTTGGTGATCACGGTGAGCTCCGAGTTTATCACATGACAATGATTAAATAGTGTTACTATTGTAACGCTAATATTGTAATCATAAATCAGGCTATTATTATCGCTATATGCAGTCTTCTCCCTTCTAGGGAAATAGTGAAATAGTGAATTTCGTTATAATTAGTATTGGATATAACGGATATAACGGATATAACGAACTATAAATTTAAGATTGCATTAAAAAAGAAAAATGTTTTTTTTTCATAACTGATAATAACCAAATTATATCGTATATTTTTAATATTTTTAAATATAATAATTAAAGAACAAAAATTTTAATACGCATTTATTTATTGTTATACAGGATGTTTAGCAAATCAATCTCCGCTTTTCAATATTTGATTAGCCATTTAACGTAAGCATGTGGTAAAAACTATTATATATTTTTGTAAAATCGATTAAACTCAATTTATTGAATTTTTGTGTCACGGTGGGACTAAAACATGTACGTATGGATTGTATGGCAAATAGTTCATAATATAAAATGAATAACACATTTTATTAAAGTTTAGATTACGATGTATATTACGTTACATAAATTTAGAATTCTATACTTCATTACTTCATTACTTCATTAAATAATTTTATAAAAAAAATATGTACATTTTAAACTTTGGTGAGAACTACAAATATTTTCGGTACAACTTTAGCCTTCATAGTTCTTTCGGTAAAACAAACCTGTCGCAGCCGAATTACATAATAATAAAGATCTTTTATTATAAATTCTGTGTCGATAAACAATATATAATTAGAATAATTTACATGTGTCACATGTGTGTGACGAAGGTTAATTCAAAAATAAATGAAATGTGTTAGCCTTTTTTTTTTGACATTTGATATTTTTTTCTCCGTAAATTACTGTATAATCATTAGTAGTAATAGAAAGAAATGGTAATTCCACCTTTGCCAGATGATACAATAATTGATATTTTAGAATATCTTCAAGATGACCGAGGATCTTTATATAACTGCCTTTTTATAAACCATTTTTGGTGTCAAAGAGTTGTTCGTTTACTCTGGAGGCAACCTTTTTATATTCCAATAGAGCGATGTTCAAGTTTACTACATACCTATCTCTTGTGTCTTAACGATGAAGAACAAAGATCTTTGATTCCATTCAATATTGCTTTACAAAACTATAAGCGACCTATGTTCTTATATTCAAGTTATTTAGCCGAATTGGATTCTTTTTTCATCGACAGAGCTATCGTATATTTCCTTTACAAAGAAGAATCTCCGAGATATTTTATTCATGTCTCTGAAGGAGTAAATTTTATCTATGATCATAGTCAAACCGAGGATTATCATAGAATTCGTCAATTGACAAGTACTTTTTGGCATATGTTGTTACGTAGTTGTGTTAAAGTTAATTATCTAGGTTTAGGTTCCTTAGGTCGAGAACCTATACATTATATTGATGTTCCTGATAACCTTCAAATTTTTTTAAATTCAAAATCTATATTTTCACATATAAAAAAATTATATTTAAATCCTGTCATGTCTCAAAATTCTATAGCATTTTTAAAATATGTTCCTTCAATATGTTCCAATATTCGTAAATTAGTATTTCACGAACTTAAACTTTATTCAAATTATTATCCACAAATAATAGTTAATATTATTAAAGCTCAACCATATATTGAAGATCTTGACTTTTTATCTTTCAAAAAATATGGTGGATTAATTATTTCTGAATTAACTTCTCTTAAACTTGATTTCCTAAATTCTTTAAAATTTTCTAATTTTTCTTTTTCGGAATCCCCATTAATTTTATTTTCTAATTTTAAATTATTAAAAAAATTAGAACTTATTAAATGTGATAGTTTAGATATAGTTGATTTTAATTATTTACCTCCTAGACCTTTCTTCATTAATGAATTAATTTTGGGTTATAATAATTGGGATAAAGATATTGACGCTAAATTTATTTCAAAAATTGCTAAAAACCTTAGGACTTTCTCTACCGGTTCTTTAACAAATTCTCAAATAATTCAGATAATTATGAATAAGTGCCCTAATATTATTAATATTGAATTTTCAATAGATTCTTCTCGAGTTGAATTTGATATCATTTCAACTTGCCTCTCCAAGATGAAAACGTTAGAATCTCTTTATATACATATCTTATCTGATGTTGAAGGTTATAATTTTCAATTATTTGGTGAAAATCTTCCTCATTCTTTACGCTCTTTTAAATTTGGTTATACATATAATTCTTCCAAAATTTTAAATGATTTCTTAATGAATTGTAATGTTCCATTAGAATCTCTTTATATTTCTTTTCATAATATTAATATAAATCATCTTGATTGTTTAGTTAATTTTGCAAATAGGTGTACCACTTTAAGGGAAGTTGGTTTAGAAGATATTCAAGATCAATCACAATGCCATCATGAAAAATTGGACATTATTGAAAAATTAAGACAATTGAATATAAAAGTTGTACCATTTTATTAAATTACTATATATTTACTTATAAGTGTATTTTATTTCTATTTTTCAATTAATAAAATAAAATAAAATAAAATTAATTGTATTTTTATTAAGGTCATATATTTCATTCTAGAAAATCATACAGTAAATGCCTGTATTTGTATATAGCCATATTTTGAATTTCTACTTTTGAAAATTGCATATTTGATCCAAAAATATGTCTATATGTGTCTCAAAATAACGCGTTCTTATACTGTATATAATATATTTGCTATATCGTATTTGAAGATAATTAGGCTGGCACATATAGCTAATATTATATATTTGTCATACCGAATCTATTAGATTCGGTATAAAAAAAAATAACCGAAAAAAAATAAATAAAATAAAAAAATAATCCAAAATATCGCACATGCATGTACTCAAATTTTTTATAATAATTTATCGAGTAATTTGAAAATTTTAATAATACTCGGATAGTGATTTTTCTACGGGTAAAGTCTCTACTCAAATAATGCGCAGATGCGCGTTATTACGCGACGGCGCAGTAAATTACATTTCCGTATTTTAACAATATTAAATTCTTGTAGATGAATTAAATCAAAATTAACCAAGACGATGAAGTTTGGTAGTTCTAAGTGCTTAAACTACTAAATACAAAAAATATACTGAGATTGACCATTATGCTCAACTTGTATATTTATTTAGGCGGTCTAGCTTAAATTTTATATAAATCTATTTTCTAGCTTTAATTATTAAATAGTTGTATTGGCTTATTGTTATTCAACAGTAAAAAGTCTAATGTTTTAATACTTTTAAAAAAAAGTCAAAATGTTTTTAAAACAAATTACAAGCATTGTTGAATTCAGATGTACAACACTACTAAACAGTAGGTTAAAAGTCTTCGACCAATTAGTAATGTTATAACTAGTCAACGGCTGATCATAACCTAACGCTGAGGATATATATTGTATATAAGGATGCGCTCAGTTACGGTCATTGACTAGTTATAACCGCGACTGATAATAATTGGTCAGAGGTTTTTAACTGAAATCAACCAAATCAACTATTTTGTGCTAATAATCGACAATAGCCGATCAATGACCGACTGAACCCATCCTTAGTCTAAAGTGATTACAACTATTATCATAATTCCTGTGACACCTGATAAAAATTGGCCGAACGATTTTCAGCCGATTCGGTCAAGTTTGTGATTTCAGGAATAAATTGATATATGTGAGTACCGCCAAGAGAGAGTGCCGCCAAGAGAAAAGCTTCTTTATTATCGGACTTTCAATTATATTTTGTACCGGTCATAATTCCCAATAAATTAGATTGTGTCCGATACAAAATATAATTGAAAGCCCGATAACTGGTTTTCTCTTAATGATTAAAGTATCTGGAAAAAAAATAATAAAATAGAAAAAATTTTCGTACAAATTAAACACACTAAACATGTTGTACAACATTTGAACTAATGTTGGCATTATTGTTATAAAGATCGTAAAATAATCATTATAATACAAAAATAGTTTTCATTGCCGAATTCATAACCGATGAAAAATCGTTCGACCAATTTTTATCAAGTGGTAACGTAAGATCTACATTTTTATGCGGCTCTGTTTATAAATAAATTAGTATATTTAGTGATAATGTTCTTATTCAAAGTTCGGTACGTATAATACATATAATTACATATTATTGGTACGAAATTACATCTAATCAGATTTTCAAATTTATGCTATTGGTGATTTACAGTTGTTTTATAAATCCTGAAACAACTGAAAAATTTTCCGATAAGTTACCGAGTCGGAACAAAAGCAATCAATTTCGGCCGAACTCGGAAAGCTTATCGATTCGTCAACTGCAATTTTATCAATTGTTCCGAAAAAACAAATGTAATGTAGATTTTAGAAAAAATCGTCATTATACATAAAGTATTTCGGTAAATATTTGATATATACCTGCGAAATACTTTTGACCGAGCCGCTATGTTTTCTATGTCATGCATTATCAGCATATCATTCGTTTAGTAATTTTATTTCTCTTGTTATGTAACAAATAAAAAAAATGCCAAAAATTTGGAAATAATTGATAAGGTCACTAAAGAAAGATTTTCAGACTGACTTTTTTATTATTGCACTTAATTAGGTCTGTTTTAACTGACATATATGCGATGAAGGGATGTCATATGACCAGTCATGCTCATAGCCGATAGCCAGGAACGAGCTAATTTCAGTTTTGATCAGAATTAGTATTAGCTAGTATTACTAACCGATAATCCAGGCCAAATTTTTTAAAAAATACAGTCAGACATCTATAATTGCACCTTTCATAAATGCACTACTATGTAAATTCTCTAAGTTAATGCTTTGGTATGGTCGCAAATATATAGAACATAGTAAAAATTCCCTCTATAAATGTACGTCTTTCTTAAAGCATTTTTAAAATTTGTCCTATGCCCGAGGGTTGCAATTATAAAGGTTTGACTGTAATGTTATTTGTGAATATTCATGCTTCCATTCCTAATATTTGTACAGTAATTTCATCACTCCATTCTTGGGTATACCTAATGTTGATTGGCTGAGACATGTGACTATGACCGGTTGCAAGCGTTTGGTTTTAAAATACGATTCGGTTACCGATTGGTTTGTCAAATCATTAACTCTACAGTGCAGAATCCTTAAATCAGCAAATAAAAATACATATTTCTAAAAGTTTATAAATAAAATTAAAATAGTTATAAACCAAACCTTTATAGAATGATAAAATCAAAACTAAAGAATAAAACTACAGAGTTTATTTTTTAAATTAATTAGTATTTAATAGAGTTAATTTTTTTTTTAAAGTTATTCAATTTTATTAATTATATTAAACATTTGGCCGCCTTAATAACTAATTCATTTAATTTTGTCCAAATTATTAATAAATTTTTTTATTAAAAATTTATAATATAAAAATATAAATAAACTAATCTTTCTTTTTTCTCTTTTTTTTCTCTTTTCTTATACATATACACACTTTCTCTTTCTCACACATATACATATTTTTTCTCTTTTTTTTTTTTCTAATATATATAATATATATTTATATTTATATTATTATTAATCATATTAGTTTATAAATTTTAATATCTAGTTATAATTTTAAATTTTAACCCTCCTTATTTTTATAGAATTTTTTATATAAATAAATTATTTTTTAAAGGTTAGATTAAGGATACAGATTATATTAAGTTAAAAAGTAAATTATTTATATGCAAAATTAGATGCTGAAAACTTTTATTTAATAACTCAAAGCTAGTTTTTGCAATAAAATTTTGTGTAATTAATAATTTTTAATTTTTTTTAAATTTTTTAAAAATTTTTTTATTGGTAAATTATAAGGTGGTTAACATCACCAAAAAGGCAAGTTAGCATTATTCTTGGTCTATTATTATATACTATGTTTCAAAATTTAGATACTATATTTATAAGTTGTTAATTTTTAAGAATTTTTATATTGTACTATAGCTGCTATAACAAATTTTTATAGCAAATTCTTAATTTTGATTAGCTAAAGGCAATAATTAAAAAATTTGACTAAAATTACTTATTAATAAAATTATAGCTGCTTATTAAACAAAATTAGTTTTAGACTAATTTTATTAATGCTTTAAAATTTTATTTTTAAAATAAAATATAAATTAAAATTTTGTAAATTATAGCTATTAGCTATTCAACTATTTGAAAAAAGTTGCTAAAACTGTAAATAAATTTTTAACTTTTCAATTAATTTATTTTAAATTTAATAGTAAACAAAAAAAGAATAATAATGAAATTAAAAAAATAGTTTTTTTTATTATATATATTTTAAGTTATTAATTACCTATTATTAATATTTCTTTATTTTATCTAGTTTACATAAAGAAATCAGACATTTTAAAGAAAACGTAATTATATTAAAGATAAACTAAATATATTAAAACAAGAAAAACAGGTTTAAATTACTAATATTTATGAGAAATAGCTAAAAATAAAAAGGTGAAAGATAAAAAAGTTAAAAATATTAATAAATTAACTAAACAAGTTACAAAATTAACTTAATTTCCAACTTTACTACTGTTCTTTTTACAAGTCTTAATTATAAAAAAATTTTTCATTCACACTATTTTTTACCCTATATTCTATTTCTTAACATGCTCATATTGTAATTAATCTTGCTCGTTTACATCTTTTTCTTCATAACAAATATCAAACTATTAACTATACTTAATTCTATCTTGATCTTGATCTTAAACCTA